AGGCAGATTTGGGAGAAGAGAGTGTGGGAGAGAAAGGGGAGGAGGAACATCTGAAGGTGGTGCAATAGAACTGAAATCCACAGCAGGATACTCCTCTGTATTTTGCTCCTCAGGGTTACGACTAGGAACCTCACTGTCTTGAAGCTCCTCTGCAAAAAGAGACATTTTGCACATTTTACCACCTAGACTTGGACTCACAGACTGAATTCTGTTCATCTAAATTTAGCAAGGTGGCCTCACCGACGGCTGACACGTCAATGTCCTCTCGGACAGCTAGGGATGTGTTTGTCATGTTAATGGAAGAAGTGGATAGGTCCAGTCGGTCTGCCATGTCTGACACCTCCGAATTCATCATGGCCACTTCTGACTGATCCGAGAAACCTGGAGGAACCATTGCTTTGATATATTACAATGTCTTTTCATGATTTTTGTTCTAGATGAAGCACGTATTTTGATGTCTTACCAGGATCCATGACTCTCTGAATGGGAGGTGGCAGTGCGGTATCAAGATCCAAGCCACTCATTGACTGACTGGACACCATTAAGGACACCTGAAGCAATATAACAAAGAGTGAAAAATTTAAGGGGGTCTGAATACTTTCCGTACCCACTGTACCTTTCAGTTATGTTGTTGTACGCAGCTACCAAAAATTCAAACCATAGTTGAACATTCTGTCATCATTTACACACCCTCACATCGTTTTAAACCTGTTTGCATTTCTTTCTTCTAGGGCTGCACAATTAATCAAAATAAAACCCAAATCACAAAAAAAAGTAAATAAAAAAACAAATATTAGCCATAAATATTAGCGCTAATATTACAGTTGCAAAAGTAATATTTCTTATTTTGTTTTTGTTTAGTAATATTATTATTATTTAGCTATACTGATATATAATCATAACATTTAGGACAAATTGTGCTGTCCTACAAACAAGCACAGCAGACCTGTTTTTTTGTTTTAGTTTTTTTGGCAATTTTTATCAGGGAAAAAAGTAAATTGTGTTTTTTTCCCCAAATCGTGCAGCCCTACTTTCTTCTGTGGAACAAAAAGATATGTCAGTTGGGTCCAATTTGTTTTGTTTTGTTTTGAAACCCATTTACTTTCACTGTATGGACCAAAAAAACATTTTTTTTAAATATCTAATTTTGTGTCGCACATTAGAAAGAAAGACATATAGGCAAGTAAATGACAACAGAATTCTGGGTGAACTATTCCTTAAGTAATATGATATCACACTAGTCTTGAGAAAAATTACCTCTGTAAATCCATTTGTACTTATTGAATATTTGTACTTATTTTTACTTATTGGACCAAAAGACAGTACACCGAATCTCGTGGATTACAGTTTGCAAATAGACGGATGTACGGTTACTTCCTCTACAGTCAAAAATCTGGGTGTTATATTAGATAGCAACTTGTCTTTCGAAAATCATATTTCCCATGTTACAAAAACAGCATTCTTCCATCTTAGAAACATTGCCAAGTTACGAAACATGATACCTGTTTCTGATGCAGAAAAGCTAGTTCATGCATTCATGACCTCTAGACTGGACTATTGTAATGCACTGCTAGGTGGTTGTCCTGCATCTTCAATAAACAATTTGTAGGAAGTTCTTGCTCTGGCGTTCCTACCACAGGAGAAGCTTTTGGACTGACTCTTTCAGATTTTGGGCTGTCAGGTCGTGCTGGGATTCGGTGCAGGTAGCCATATCCAATGCCACAGCCAAGACTACAAAGGCAAAATCATTATCATGAAATGCACACAAGCTCTGGAGGAGGCAGTTGTGCGAGTCGTTTCCTCGTAATAATGGCTGATTCAGGTCTTCATTACACTATTACATCTTCTGTAACAGGATTATTACCTGCCTTCTCCCCCCCAGGCACCATTTGGTGTGACAACCACCTCCCTGCATTTATTTGTCTCTGTATTGTAGACCAGCAGCTTCAGTGGTTTCCCCTCATGGGCTTCAATTAGGGAGAAGAAATCCTCTGACTGTTGGGAAATCAAAACATTGCTTGATTGTGAGTAACTTGCATGCACAGATTTGTTTTCTCCTCAATAACAATCAAGCATTCCTTAAATAATTCACATCTTACATCTTGGAGAACCTGGTCAGCTCCAACAATGAAATCCGAATGTTCCTGGAGTCCGGCCAATGCTGCTGGTGAATTTGACTCCACATCCTAAAACCAAAGCGAGCAAAATAATCACACAAAGAGAAAAAGAGAACAGTCCAAGAAGCCAAAGTACTTTAAAAAAAATGCAAGGATCACTTACGAGAACATGCCAAACATTTTCATTGGCTCCTTGAAACCTGCAGAAGCGGACACTGGCTCCCAGAAGTCCTTGACCACCCCACATGTTGCTGGGAACCACTTCCAATTCTCGGATCCTCATGGTCTTTGTACTATACACTTCCATCTTCACCGGTTTCTCCACATTAGCCTTGAGGAGGTCCTTGAACATATCATTCTCCTGGTTCTGTTTCAGATAGCATGTGACTCATTAGAATCAAAGAAACTGTGACCACATTTACATGCACATCAAAACCAAGTTTTGGTTAAGTCTTTAATCCAACAAAGACATGAACTTTCATCATCTCTTTGGAAAATACGGGAGATAAAGTGTACATTCTGAATAAAATGTTTACATGACCAGCCAAAACTCGGATATGCTGTCTTGCACAGATTTCTTGAAAGTCGAATAATGGCTTCAGGTTATGACAACTGGTTTTAATGTGTTTACATGATTCCATTAAACAAATAGTCCAATATTCAAGAACATTCTTGTGCATTTCAGTGATTATATGAATGTCACTGACCACTTAAAACTAGTTACAATAGCTTGTTTTAAATAGTTGTAGAATTGTTTTAGCTACTACAAACACTACCAGATTGCTGTGTTAAAGCAGCACTATGTAACTTTTGGCGCTCAAGCGGTTAAAACAGCACTATGTAACTTTTTCTGTGTTCAAAATTTGCAAAATGTATATAATGAGCGAGTACATCATGAATTCATCTTACAACCCGCGTTTTTGTCTTATTCCGAATCACTACGGTACACTTATAATAAGTAATTATATTTGGACTATTGTAGCCTGGTCGGGTCGTCACCGCTGCGGAGTAACACATACGTGCGTGAATCGCCATAGACATAAATTTAAGAGAAGTAGCTCCGGTTGGAATGTTCTTCCGCGGGATGTGTGCAGTTCTGTTTATTAACCGCTAGAGCGCCAAAAATTACATAGTGCTGCTTTAAACTGTACACAGTGCAGATTATATAGATAGAGCTAAAATATACATTTAAAAAAATCTAGAGACAGTGAACAGATGTCATTTTGCCAAGACAAAGCATTACTTGTTTAAACATTTTAAAATGTTTACATGAAGCCTGCATAATCAAAAATTGTATGAAAACATTACAATATTAATTAGGACATTCTTGTGCATGTAAATCTAATCCTCTGTTGGTTATTACTTGTGTGACATAGACAAATCTTTGTATTACATTTTCAAGATTACAAGAATAACCAATAAGGTTTTACAAATACAAACTTACAAGACGATTATTGCCAATGGATATGATGAAATCGAAAAAGGGCTCCAAACCAGATTTCTCCGCTGGTGAGTCCTCTTGAAGCTGTAAAGGAATAGAATTTAATCACCGCAGAGCACAAATTCCATTCAGATTTGGAATGTCAGATGAGGGGGGTTTACTTCAAATGCATTTAAATTCATACTTATTTATGCTGTACACATTGTTGTGTATTCAGGGAAGTTTAATTACATCCATCGAATGATACGTAATCTCAAGTAATGAATCTCTGAGAATATGAGTTTATTCAGTGACGTGGCGGCTACATTTATATACTCCTAAATCCAGGAGCTTCTGGATTAACGTTACTGACCACGACATCGTTCCAAAACTCTGCAAACACTTTTACACACTTAAGACTGTGTAACGTGCGACCATAATGTAAGAAATCACAAATGTTAAAATAAATAAGTAGGCGTTTTCGGAGCTTTCAGATTTACAGTAACGTTACAAAAGAACCTGTACGTTAATTACAATTTCCTGACAGTTGCCACTTTGCAAGCATAATTTTTAAACATTGAAAAGGCTTCCACAGATGTTAATACCGTAGACAAATATACTAAATCTGACACAGTTGTTTATTTCAGCACGAAAAAAGAAAACATGAACGCACACACTCCGTTTTCTCTCAGTGCATATCTGTCAAAGCCTAAAGCAATGCGGACATGAGAACTTAATGAAAGCATAGCTAGCATGCAAAGCTGCTCGATGTCAAAAAAGTCACCAAAATTAAAGTTATTTACTCCATGGACATGATATCCTTCTGTTCCCCCCTCAGGTCCACCACTGCTCTGTGTTAAACCCATTGCTCTTAAGGGTTTCGATGTTTTTCAATGTTTTGTTTAGCATTCCAAAATTAACGACCCAGACACATCGTGGCCATGTTGTCCATCTAGGCAGGGGAGAGCAATCGAACATGATGCCAACGATCAAAGGATTTTTCTATCTCGGTACGTTATTTTTTAATATTTGTCAGCTAAAACATTCTCAGTTAAACAAAAATAATTTGTGTGTGTGGCTAAATTGCATAATAATGATACAAAATATATAATATAATTAAATACGTTATATTTATATTTTTATTATTCACACATCCTAAATAAGTCATAATTTTTTTTTTATTATTGTTATTTTTCTAATGACTTGTTTTGACAAAGCAACAAAAACTTAACCACAAAAGCTAATTAAGTTATGTATACTCACACATAGTTGCCTTCAATTCAATTTTAACTTCAACCTCTCTGTTCAACAATTAATTCACCTTTGTATGAAAAAAAAACTGTTATATCTTATTGATCATTTTCTTTCAATTTTTCAATTATTTTTAGACTTCTTGAAGCTACTTCTGATGTTTACTGAGGCCCTCTTGTGGAGCTTCCAGGTCGAGAACAACAGTAGAAAGCCTAAACGCCAGTAATTTCCTGTGAAAATTAATCAAACCTCAAATTTAAGTCAATTTTTGGAAGAATAAACAATACCTACATAAAAACCAATACTGTAATTCTTCGAGTCTCCGTTTCTCTTGTGTAAATCAGTATTTCTCACTGGTTTTGTGATGCCAGCCTGGCTGCAGGCACAGGTCTCCGGCTCACAGAAGCCCTGGCAATGGCATCCACTGTCTTCCCTCCACCGCCGCAGCTCCTGCAGCTGCCTCTTCTCCTCCCGGTCGATGCGCACCACTCCTGCTGCTCTCAATAATGCACGTCTCCGCTTGGAAGAGCAGGGACGGAGGGATCCCATGTCTTTCAGCTTCGTGCTACGGAGATCGGTATCCTCATCTGGGACGTCGTTCACTGTCAACCTGGCTGCTTCTGATGCTGTGAGAGTCCCACTGATGATCAGCTATAAAAAGGAAGATACTGTAAGAAGCCAAGCGAAAAATAAAACTGGAAAATAACCAACTCACCTTCTGTCTCAATGCATCCAGCTTCTCCTCTTGGTGTTGCTCACGTAGCCTCTCCATTCGCAAGCGCTGCTGCTCCTCCACATGCTCCGCCAGGGTGAACTGCTGGCGGGCAGTGTGCCGTCTAACCATGCCCAGTGTGCAGCCGCCATGACTGGGCACACTGCTGAAACCTTGACAGCGCTGGAAAACGAACACCGTAACCAGGCCAAACCGAACACTGCCTTTGGATTGCGTATCTTTCGTCTTCTTCAGGATGGATGAAACTAAGAGCAAAGATATCAAATGGGTTAATTATCATCTCACTCCACTGACTTCCAGTGGCTTCTTGAATCAAAATGTATGGCTTTGACACTGGCTTTCAGGACTGCCACTGCATAGAATGTCCCTCTGGTTATTGCAGGACAGCAGATGTGATTTTGCATGACAATGTGGGACACATGCGTGACAGAGATCAATTTACTTATATAAAATACCGATTTACATTAGTTAGAAAGTCTTTATGCTGTGATGTTGAATGATAACATGCTTTAAACCGTCACTTTGATTGACACTCAATTTGCCCATGTTCCCTATGGGACCTATTCAGTCAATAAATATAATAAACTAAATAAAATAAAATACTAGCAGGTAAAATCAAATTTCATACTGAAATACATTTCAACTAGTGTGTGGCAGCCCTGAGCAGGAAGTTTTTATCTTGTATGTGTCTAGAAGCTCTGGATTTAAAGGGTTAGTTCACCCAAAAATGAAAATTCTGTCATTATTTACTCACCCTCATGTCATTCTAAACCCATAAGACCTTCGTAGTAAAGACATCGTTAAAATAGTCCATGTGACATCAGTGGTTCAACTGTAATTTTACGAAGCTACGAGAATACTTTTTGTGTGGAAAGAAAATTAAAATAACAACTTTATTCAACAATTCTTCTCCTCTGGGTCCTGTCCTTCGCCATTATCAAGAGAACCACAACACATACGCTACGCCTTGTTTATGAGCAGAGCGCATTCGCGCATTCGTTGTGGTACTTTCGATAAGCTTCGTAAAATTACGGTTGAACCACTGATGTCACGTGGACTATTTTAACGATGTTCTTACTATGTTTCTGGGCCTGGGAACATTTCAGTTGCATTGCTCTTTATGGAGGGTCAGAAAGCTCTCGGATTTCACAAAAATATCTTAATTTGTGTTCTGAAGATGAACAAAGGTCTCACAGGTTTTGGAACGGCATGAGGGTGAGTAATTAATGACAGAATTTTTTTTATTTTTTTTTTTAGCTAACCCTTTAACCTTTATCTGGAGTTCCCTTTTCAAATCCACTCTGGTTTCTTTGCAGTCATTATCAGAGGGGAAAAAAAGCCCTCTCTGCGAATGCATTGGTTGGTTATTTTTCACTCTAGAACATGACAGCTGTGCATATGGATTTTTAAATGCCAGCTTATTTTATTCTTTTTTTATTGTGATATTGTAATTTCAGAGAAGGAAATTATTACAGGCATAAATATTAAAAATATTACAGACATAATTGGAATGCAAGTCACTGCTTAAGTCTGGCAGAACACAGGAAAGTCACTCTCCAAAACCTTCACCCTCTCTGTTCCTATCTGGTGTGGAATAAGCTGACAACCTCCACCTGAACTGAAGAGACAGTTGCAACTTTCAAGAAGCAACTGAAGACCTCTGCTGCATGCACTTGTTCACCCCACACCCTTAAACCAATTCATTTGCACAAAACAAATTATATATGTTTTTCCTTATCTGCATTTTCTAATCTAGTTGTCTAATAAACCTGACACTGTATATTATGAATATTGTCTTTGTGACAAATTGCATTTGTTCCTCTTTGTAAGTTGCTCTGGATATAAACATATAAATATAAATGTGTTTATTTTATGGTGATTGTCACTGTTGTAGTTTCCACTAGAGGGCAGCTGAGTCAGATTTGTTAAGAAGTAACCTGAACTCAACACTAGAGAGGCCTTAAGACATTAAGGAAATTACAACAGTGGTCTTGCCATTTTTCATATGCAGTACTAAAAGGAACAAAAAAACTTTCTTCAAGAGTGCAAAGTTTAGAAACATTCAGTGCCATTTTTTGTGTTTGCTTTTTTGCAATAGTAGTTTATCTCTCTATAAATGAGGATAATGGGCTGAGGTCAGACGTCAGATGTGTTTGCACAGTAGTAGCCCTTAGTAAATCAGCTTTATTTGCAACACTTCACATGCTATGAATCATGTGAATCAAAAATGAAAAACACACAGGCATGTCCAGGCACACAGACAGACAATATAATCTCACAGTACTACCAGCAAAGGTAAACACTTACACAATAGATGTGCTCTGTCCCGGTCAGGACGGTGTAACTGATTATAGCTTAATAATTGTTGTGCTTACATTGAGGTTTGTGGGTTTAAAATGACTCAGGGTGACTGTGCACAACATCTCCTGATAAACAATGTTACAACTGACTGTTTCTCTTCTTATCTAGTGCTCTGCACAATAACACTGAGGTTAGATAACAAGACCCCTCCTTATGTGTGTTTAAAAACACTGGAGGTGACAAGTGTTGCTTTGCATGATTTGAAAAATGCACTGTGCTACTATGGTACTATGCATGACTTACTTGGCATGTGATGGATTGAAGAGAAAGAGCCAACAGGCACAAAGTCCATGCTATCACTTTGGGGGCTGTCTTCATCAGAGTCCCATTCAGAGTGTGATGAGGGGGATGAGGAGGAGTAAATGGCATCCTCGTCTGGGAAACCATATTTCCTCTTTAAACCCCCACGCTGTGATGTAGCCATGGTGATCTGTCAAATTATACAGGAAAAAATAAAGCACAAGATTAGATTGAAAAGTAGACTTTACAGCAAATGTGTCGTTGGAAAATGTTTGTGATGTTGATAAAGAATTTTTTTTAATCTAGTTTATGTGCCAAGTTCTTAGAAATTAATTTGGTGTATTCATGTTCGTTTCTGTAAAAATTTCTATTGAATGATTCTAAAAAATAGCAATATATTTAATAACAACAAGGTGTAACATGTTACACTTTAAATACATTTTGAAATCTTTGAACAAATTCAGTTTACAAATCTTTATTATTTTCTATATATATATTTTTAAAAAGGGGCATTTATTATTTTTAATAAAAGTTTTCAAAACCTTTTTGAAATATATAATAGTTATTAAAATATATATTTTAATATCTTTTTAGGGTACTTTTTTTTTTTTTACAAATATTAAAAATTATTAATTAATATAATTAATAAATACATATAATTTATGATTGCACTACATGACATGATTTGGCAGACATATGTTTTCATAATTTTAATAAGCAGTTAACCTGTTTTGTTTGTACATTTTTTTTTTCAATAATAAAAGATTATACCAAAACTACGTAAAGATAAAAATACAACTATTGTAATAAAGTCTTTTTTTTTTCATTAAGATATCAGGACAGTTTTATCACCCTGACATTTTTTGTCCCTATCAAAATGAAATTAAATCCAGAAGTTAAAAACCATTCCCTCCACATACAAGATACAAGTACTTTGTATATAAATAGCATTTTAATATATTTTTGAATGAATTACTGGGTTATAAAATGAGATCACATTTTTGGCCATGCACCAAGTCTGAAAATAGTATTTGTGGAGGTTCAGTAACCATTAGCATACAAATCCTAACCAGCAGCAACTGGACACCTCTCTCTTGTTCAGGCTGGTACCAGAGATTCACATCTTCACTCTGGGCAAAAGCCTGTTTAGCAGGTTCCCCAGTAAGACAAAACTTGACTTGAACTACTACAACATCACAAGCCCATGCAACTTTCTCAGGGAAATTATCATTGTTATTAATCATATTATGCAAAGTAAATGCAAACACAAAAGTGTGCATTATACAAGCAATGATAAGTCTGGAGGGAATCAATGGTTCCTTCTATCTGCCTCCGGAGTCATTAACATTCCTCAGATGTTTGGAGTTCTTCGAGAACAAAATGTTAAGACATTCAGCTCAGCTTAACGTCCCAAACAGGCTAAACTGCATGACTAAATTTGTAACTCGATACTTGTTTTTATTGCAGAACCCCCAAAAGTATGATAGCAAATGCCAAGCTCCATTTCAAAGCTTATGAAAGCACTTACAAGTACACGCTGAGTGCAAAAAGAAACAAAAGAGGAAACCGTAGCACAAACCTCACATTCTACTGGTTTTTCTGCTTGAGTGGGTGTGCGCTGGAAATAAATCACACGCTAGCACATACACACAGAGAACTCTGTGTACCTCGGATGACAGAACAACACTACCTCACACCGCAGGACGGAGCAATCTGCATCACAGATCACCTGGTTCTTGTTCCAAGTGCATCCAGTCAAGCCCAACCCACACAAATGGCTCATATGCCAAGAACACTATGTGCCCCTGTGCACACTGCCTGTATCCTGGACAACCTTAACTTTCTCTCTCACCTCTTTTCACACAGGTCTGGCTTTCTTTGGACAGTGTTGTGTAAACACCTGCACTGTAATCCCAGATGCCACAAAGTCAACTGTGTAAAAGGTTATTGCTTCATGAGATAAATGACACTTTGTGTTGCACATAATAGTAAAAGTGTTTGTAGCATGTAAATCATGCTTCGACAGAAATGCAGAATCGACTGGTGCGGTGACGCATGTGATTTATGGCTTCCTCTAGCTGTGACAAAGTGATAGTGATCTCTTAAAAGTGTGCAGACACCAGACTTCAAGTTCATTCAATTATTCATTGCATCCTTTGTGTACAGTATATGTGATGTGGGAGTGTTTATGTAGTGTAGTGAATGTGTAAGACAGGAGGGCAGCTGATTACAAGAACATAGGCCTAACATACAATAACAATTGAACAAAAAACACTGAAAGCCAAACACTTGGCAGTGACAACTGGCCAGACTACAACTATGCAAATGAACATGTGAATGTTAGAATGTAAACAGAAGGAGGAGGTGGAGTTTGCAGACTGTGAAAGGGGAAAGCAGACAGATGTCAGGTGGAAAAATAGGTTATCACTCTGGTCTACAGCAGACAAAACCAACTAGACATTTTCTCACCTTTTCTATGCAGCAACGTGGAAATTTAAAGCATCATTTGTAAAATAGTGTGAATACAAGTACGTAAAGTGGACAGTTTCTGACTGTTCTTTTTTTATTGGTGCTGTTGGCTACAGTGTCATTCAATACAGGATGAACTTAATACAGTTTATTATTGAGGGAACATACAGATTATGATAGATTATTACGCTAAAGTGTCCCACTTAAAAAAAGTAGTCAAATCCACTCTAACTTGCCTTGACCTTAGGTAAGCATCTTTCTCTTAAATCATTCATGAGGATCTGATTCCATGACATTGCAGGTGCATCTACTTTCTGTCATGCCAATCATTATTTTTCATATAACCCTAAGTAACTGTGCACTATGTTTTTCAAACATCACACATATTAAACATTTTATTTAAATTCTAATAAAAGTACAAAACAGCTCCGTTTTATTTTAAGGATGATTCGTGTACCAAGTTAATAAAAACTTAGTCTAAGCAGAGCGCCTGTTTAAATAGCAATTAAGCTACTTTTCCACGCACCAGCACTTTAATTCTGCAGCTGCTGAACTTCCGTAGCGGACTTTCTCGCGGTCATGCTTTGTTTATTCAGGGACGTAAATAACCACATTGCAACACTATAGGTTTCACGGTAACAATTAGTGATTGAACCGCTTAGCTTATTACCTGTACTACTGAGTTCGCGTTTTATGTAAAATAATGTGTTGCGAGAAATCTACAAGCACCTAAAACAAAAACAAAACACTCACCCAGTGGTTGTGTATCCGTGTATCATGGGTGGATGAGACGACCATACGATGCTTGAAAAGTTATCAAGATAGCACCAACGTCCTCTTTCTTAGCTCTCGATGCACGTATAGTACAGTGAGATCAGCTGTTGTTGAGTTGTGTGTGTTCGTCAGTGGAAAACTCCCCCCACACTGCCTGACGTAAGTTATGCAGTCATGACGCTAGGCGCGTGCTGCACACAGACACGCTGGATAAAGAACAGTCAGTCAAAACACTCACCCAGTGGTTGTGTATCCGTGTATCATGGGTGGATGAGACGACCATACGATGCTTGAAAAGTTATCAAGATAGCACCAACGTCCTCTTTCTTAGCTCTCGATGCACGTATAGTACAGTGAGATCAGCTGTTGTTGAGTTGTGTGTGTTCGTAAGTGGAAAACTCCCCCCACACTGCCTGACGCAAGTTATGCAGTCATGACGCTAGGCGCGTGCTGCACACAGACACGCTGGATAAAGAACAGTAAGTCACGACGGAACTGGCAAAACAAACAAAACCTACCCTAACCAACCAACATGACGCCAAATCATTCAGCTGCCCACCACACGAGGATGAACTGGATGTCCTTCGTTTGGTTTGCGTGATACACCCATATCACTCACAAAGGGCTCCTTATTCAGCAGTATCGAAATGTTTTAGAAAGGGTTCTTAGACCATAAGATCATTCAGTCAAAGTCTGTTTTTGTTTTCTCTCTCAGCGAACCCCTTAAAATTGAGGAAGTCAGTAATGGTCTGATTAAATTTCTTTCTGATAAAATACTGTGTGAGCAATTGGGCTTATTTTGGGAACCAACCATTTGTGAAAAGCATATGACAGTTCATATGTCATACTGTTTAATTGTTCCCGAAATCTATACTATCTCCTCAGACATATAAAATAGAGACCAGGGTTAGTGATCGGATTATGAAATCAGTTTCTATCTGCACTGAAAATTGGTGTAGTATTTACAAACAGGTTTCACTTAGAAATTGCTAGCAAATGTCACAAATACTGTAATTACAAAGAAACTGCAGGAAACGCATTGAATTACATGAAATTTGAAGACTGAAAAAGTACATTCTTTTAAAACAGTTCAATAATTTTTGTTTTATTTACAACTTAGAAAAAATGTGCAGTGTAGAAATAAATCTTAATGTCTTGACTACAAGTATTGAACATTTCCACTGTTATTGCTCTGGAAAAAATACAGTTTGTCGAATAAACATTGCCCAGTAGTGGGGCATGTTGTCACAAACAAAACGGTCAATAACAGCTTTTCTCAACAGAATTTAAACAGTACAGAAGACATCATGAAACTCATCAAACAGAAAAAATGCACAATATAATAACACATCAAACCACTGACTAACAATTTTTTGTTATTTATTGTAATTTACAAATTGTGTAATTAATTCTACAATAATTTATCACATTTAAAATATGACAACATGCCCGATTTGACCTTTATGAGAAATTCCCTTGTATATAAATACTAAAAAAACACCCACACACACACACATTTGCGTAAATTGGACTTACAGTCTTTAGAAAACCCAAGTTACTGAGATAAATCTTTTGTGACAACTAGCCCCAGTCTCTCTGATATTTATTTAACCTGATGATTTCTACAAATGCATTAATGGATCTTTTCCATTTTTTTTTTCTCTAATGAAGTCTGTTCCAGCTTATGCTGACAAAGAAAAGACAGGCAGTGATAGAGGTCAGACAAAAGGCAGAGGAGAAAAACATAAGACTGCTGCTCCAGCCACTAGAGAAGCACTCCCTGGATACCAAAGAGCCTCTCCATGGCAATGACACTGTGAAACATCCATCACAGGAGACTTCTTGGGCATCATGGTTTCAGAGGCAGATGGTAACATCTTTGTGCCTTCCTCTCACTCTTTCTTTCTCTCTCCTTCTCGCACACACATAACACTGACTGTGTCACCTCGATGATTTCCCATCTGTTTGGTACTGAAACCACAGGGCACATATCACCCGTCAGCCCCTCCTTCTAAGCTGGTGGTAAGACAGACATACAAAAGAACCACAGACGCTTAAAAAGCAGGTTAAAACATGTCAACAATACACTGGGGAATTAGCTTTCAAACATAACACATCCATCCATCTGCTGAAGGGTTCAATGTTTCGTATGAAAGATATTGTGGTTATTATTAACTATTCTGAGAATTACCAGAAAATCTTCTGAGAGAGTGACCACAAGTGGAAAATGCGATGTAGGCTAAGTTGTGTTTCTGCACAACTTATTTTTAGTGCATACCACAGACATTGCACAACATACGCAAATCAATTCAAAGCATGGACCATAAACTCTGTATGCAGAGTAAAAGTGCTAATGGAGAGAAGGTAATAGGTTATTAGCTCACAAACTGTACATCTGAGAATAAATACACTGAACAAAAACAGAATTTGATGATTTCTTCATCCAATGAGTTAGTCATCCAGAGCAAATGGTATTTAATATTTATATTCAAATATTTGTGTAATAGCTCTCTGGAATATTTGATTCTGATTGGTCATTCGCATCATCCAGTGGTCTGATATTTCCTAAAGACTACACGATTTTTGTGCCGATTTTCCACCAATTTACAGTTTGGATAAGTTGATCCCAGTTGACGAAAGTCAGTGCTAGTCTGCAGATTTGAGTTGACAGGGTTCTTAGAAAATCTCGTAGTGTATGATGGTCACAGACCCTGATTTTTTAGCTTCAGACTATGATTCGATCCAGTCAGAGGAAATCAAACACGTTTCAGCCGATTTTAGAACATGTTATTTTCTTTTGTCACGCGTCTCCTATAACAAGGCGCATGTTTCTGCGTGAGTTTGATGTGATCAGAATGACTTTAAAGTCTGGTAGTGTGAGATCTTCAGTCGTTTAGCGTATAATGGCCAGTTTGTCATCTGTGACTATTATTACAAAGTCGGTAAGTGTATGATGCCCAGAATTTTAAGATCTGTTCAGTTTTTAAAAGTCGTGTAGTGTACTCCAGCCTTAATATTCACCATCGTCCATGGCAACACTCTATAACAGTCACAAAACTAGAGCTACTTTCATGTTTCTCATATCACTCCACGACCTCGCTCTCTTGTTTCATACAAACACAGCTGCTGTGCCTCAGTTAGCAATTGTTGTACAAATAACCACAACTTATTAATATTAATTTAACTGTAATATCGTTGCAGTGTTTATCTTGTTGCCAGGCTGATTCCTTTGTACACTGAACAATTTTTTTTCTTAGTGGAAGCTTTAAGATAATGTACTGGTAAGATTTTAAATTAATTTAAACTATAATTAATATGTCCACATATTTATTTATTTTTTGGGGTTATTAGCAGTGTAATAAGCTGGATAATGTACAGTCAACTGGCTATACAGCAAAATAAATTCTGCTCAATAATAAATGATTTATTTTGTTTTGGGGGGGGGGGTTTCTTCAGTTGACTGTACATTATCCCACAAAATAAATTGCAGTTTTTGTGTGATTTATTTTGCAATTTATCCTGTGATAATACGCAAATATTTAGATTCAATAACACACTGTTTACTTTGTGAAAATAGTCAGTTGACTGTACATTAACTGTAAAAAAAAACATTAAATAAATATCATATTATTGAGCATCAACTAGCCAGCGTTGTACATCATAAATGAGATTCACAAACATTTTTGATTTTCTCTTCTAAAAAACCCTTATCATTGATGTTATCATCATTGCAGTCATTTTCCTGTTATATACTCTTTCATATATTTCATAACCATCTGCCACAAATTATTTTTTTCTGTTTAAACTGTGTCAACATATGCTGATTGTTTTTTCAGCACACAAGTGAGTCTCAATCTATCCCCCTTCACTGAGGCAATCGGCTGTTGTGTAATAGTTAACCTATATTTCCCCCCTCACTCTCAGGTTGCTGCCACTAGCACTTGTGGCCCACTTTCAAGAAGTGGCCTACATACAAGGAGATTCTGACAAACTTTACAAAGCTGTTGGCACAAAAAGCTCTGGCCTAATTTCTTACCCTTCACTGAATTCAGTCGCATCCGCTCTGCTGATCTCTGCTGTCATGGTGGGAGTCTGAAAAGTGCAGCAGAGTGCTTCTGGACTTCACAACACTAATTCAGCATGCAATACTGAGTTGCACTTTTCCATAGATTTTATTTGTTTATGACTTGAGGCAATGGAGAGTGAAAGACCTCTAATCAAATGACTGATAAATACAGGTGGGATCTAGATGCAGATTTTAATGTGAAATGCAAATCTAATGGCAGAGCCGTTTGTGTTTGCGCATTTCAACAGCAACAGTTATGGTTATGTTCTAGTGGTGTTTGTCTATCCATCTGAATAGACAGGCTGAACTCTTCAAGACTCTTTGTTTGTGCTTTTGCTTGTGTTGCCATGGCAATTCAGTGCACCAGGTGTGTCCTACTCAATCTGCAGCTCTACATGGTAAGAAAAGGGTATGGAAAGCAGCTTTAAACGTTCTTGTGTTTTTAAAACTATCATGGCATTTCTCTTGTTTAAATAAAGTAGGCATTTAAAGTATATTATGCCAGTGCATGCTAACAAAAATTGCCAAAAGTCTTGAGTATAGTCTTGAAACATATCCCTTTCTTGTGTCAGTGGTCACTTGCATTAACTATTGTGGAAAATTAAAAGTTGAATCTCTCCTCACACACACAGACGCACACACTTCTGCTCCAGTAATTCGCATTGTGCTGCTGCTGAGGACTTAACCTGTTTCTAAGTATAGCCAGTGTTCGAACTATACCGTGAACTTTGGGGGAGCCCACTTTGAGTTAACGTGTACTAAACATGAGTGGAATTTGCACCACAGCGCCCCCACACCTTGATGCTCATGACAAGAATAGCATGTATAGTTATCTTTATTGAAGTGAATTAGGTTTAAATCGCCGTCATGCATGAATGAATGATATTTTTGCAATTTTACACATAATAATCCACGATGATCACATTACACAAAACTGAAATTGCACGTCAAAATAACACATTGTCAATATTTTTTGAGACCCCCCCCAAAATTTCACAAATCCCGTTTTCAGGGGAGCCCATGTCTTATTAAGGGGAGCCGAGCTCCCCCTAGCTCCCCCGTAGTTCGCACCGAGTATAGCTATCTATA